ATAGAAAAGGTCTTATAAGACGTCCACATCAATTTTCGGCAAAAATTACGTTGGTATTCTAGATCACAAAAAATTCCATGGACTATAGCACACGAAAATCATCAAAATTTGGGGTTTACCTAATCTACGACTCATTTGAAATTGAAAATTGGCCGTTTTGATCGTGGTGACCAACCGGCTCCACAGATAATGTCTAAACGATGTACAGGTAAATTTTTTATAAAAAAAGACATCAGCATTCCGCATCACCAAAAATAATAGTTGACTATAGCACAAGAAAATTGGTCAAATGGGGGGTTTACGCGCAGTGTGGATCGTTTGACCTCTAAAATGGGTCATTTTGACCGTGGTAACCAAATGGCTCCATAGCCAAGGTCTTAAAAGATGTCCATGTAAATTTTTGGCAAAAATGATGTCGGAATATGGATCACCATAAAAGATTATGAACTATCGCAACAAAATGAATTTACTTGCTCTAGGCTCGTTTTACCTTGAAAATAGGTCATTTTTGTCATGGTGAAAAACTGACTCCATAGATATTGTATAACGGACGTCCATTTAAGTTTTATCAAAACTCACATCGAAATTCCGAATTACCAAAAATCTCATTTACTATAATACATGAAAATCAAAAAATAGGGGATTTACTTGCTCTAGGGCTTGTTTGACCTTGAAAATATGTTTTTTAGCCGTGGTGACCACCGACTCTATAGCTAAGGTCGTAACATAAGTACAAGTATATTTTCGGCAAAAATTACATCAGAATTCTGGATCACCAAAAAAGATGGTGGACTATAGCAAACGAAAATTGGCGAAATACGTGGATTACATGCTCTATGCTCGTTTGACCTATAAAATGAGTCATTTTGGCTATGGTGACCAATTGGCTGCATATCTAAGGTCTTAATAGACGTCAATGTAAATTTTTGGCAAAACTGACGTCGAAATTGCAGATCACCAATAAAGATGGTGGACTATATAATATAGCACACGAAAATCAGCAAAATTGTGGGTTTACCTATTCTATGACTCGTTTGACCTTGAAAATTGGTTGTTTTTGTTGTGGTGATCAACTTACTCCATAGATAAGGTCTTGATGGAGGTCTATGTAAGTTTTCGACAAAAATCACGTTGAAATTCTGAATCACCAAAAATCCATGGACTATAGCACACAGAAATTGATAAAATGCGGGTTTACCTGCTCTAGAGCTCATTTGACTTGAAAATAGGTTATTTTTGTCGTGGTGACCAACCGGCTCCATAGCTAAGTCTTAACAGACGTACAACTAAATTTTTTGCAAAAACTACGTCAGAATTGTGGATCACCAAAAAAAGATGATGGTAGCACACGAAAATTAGCAAAATGACGGTTTTACCTAATTTGGGCTCTATTGACCTTGAAAATGGGTCGCATTGATTTTGGTGCCAACCTTCTTCATAGCTTAGGTCTTAACGGACTTACATATAAATTTAGCGCAAAAATGACATTGGAATTTTTCATCACCAAAAAAGATAGTTGACTATAGCACACAAAAATTGGCGAAATCGGGGGTTTACCTGCTCTGGGCTCGTTTGACTTCTAAAATGGGTTGTTTTGATCGTAGTGACCAACAAACTCCATAGATAAGGTCTTAAGGGATGTCCATGTAAATTTTTGGCAAAAATGACGTCGGAATTCTGGATCACCAAAAAAGATGGTGGACTATAGCACAAGAAAATTGGCAAAATGGGGAATTTACATGCTCTACGGCTTATTTGGCCTTTAAAATAGGTTGTCTTTGTCGTGGTAAAAATCTTTCTACACATATAAGGTCTTAAGGGACATTTAAGTTTTCGGCAAAAATCACGATGTAATTTCAGATCACAAAAATTCCCATGAACTATAGCACAGAAAAATTGACAAAATTGGGGGTTTACCTTATCTAGGGCTCGTTTGACCTTGAAAATGGATCGTTTTGGACATGGTGACCAATCGACTCAATAGCTAACGTCTTAATGAACATACCGGTAATTTTTTGCCAGAAAAATGTCAGAATCCCGATCACCAAAAAAATGGTGGGCTATAGCATACAAAAAATGGCGAAAATGGGGGGGGTGGATTTACCGACTTTGAAGCTCGTTTGACCTCTAAAATGGGTCGTTTTAGCTGTGGTGGCCAATTAGATCCATATCTAAGGTCTTAACAGATGTCCATGTAAATTTTTGACAAAAACGACGTTGTAATTCTGAATCACCAAAAAAGATGATGGTCTATATCACATAAAAATCGATAGAATATAAATTTACCTACTCTTAGGCTCGTTTTACCATGAAAATGTATGGGTTTTGCCATAGTTATCCTATACACGCGGTAATTGGAAGCAACTACAAACATTTCCAATAGTGATTAAAATAGAGGGTTCTGATTGAGAGTTTTTGATTGTTGATCAACAGATGTGATCACTTGAACCGTTTGAAATAAAAGAATTATACTTGGTCAAAGATAATTGATTTGTTTCAGGGAATTGATATTTCTTCGTTGTATCTTTTTCTTGATTTTCTGATAAATTAGAAAACATACTCCCAAAAAAGGTAGGGTAAACAATGAAATATAATCATTAAATAATAAATACAGACAAAATAAGAAGAAAATATTACACTTTGTTTGGATCATTGTTACCCATTGTTTCATAATGTATTGAATTATATTGTACTGTATTGTGTGGTAGATACAATGTTTGGCTAGACTGTATTGTTTGTTGTTGTTTAAAAACTTTTTAGTTATTTGGTTTGATTGTATCGTACTGTATTATAATTTATAAATTTACAAGAATATCCTTAATTATCCTAGGGTAGTAGTTTGACTAGATTCAAATAATTAAGGTAAAAGGTAAAACAGTATTTTGAAATATTATATAAAGATATAATTGAAAAAAGAAATTAAGTAACAATGGGAACACACCAAATTGGTTGTTCCATAAAATAGGAGTTTTCATTATTATGTAACAACGAAATTTAACGTACAATACATTTTAAATAACAAACAAAACAAACATTGTAGGTATAGTAACAATACAATACAAAACAATGAATAACAATGATCCAAATATAGTGTTACAGTAACATGTGATCACACCAAATCAGTAGTTACATAAAATGAATTTTTCCGTGGTTACCTAACAAATCAACGAATAAAGACCCTACAAACAAGGTGAATAACAATGTAAATTTACCAATCGAAATAAATATTTACACATCATGATTTGAAAAATATTTATCAATTGTTGTCTTTGAAGTTGAACTTTCAAAGTACGTCACTAACAAGGTAGACTTATCATATGTTGCTACTATATTTATTTAAGAAAATAGATCTGATTTACTGGAACGAGATTCATAATTTTTCATTAATTATGTATTATTTGCTTAGTCACATGTAACTATATGTGATTAATTCGGAATATTTCTTAAAATTCTTTTTGGGTATTATTATTACAACAATATATTTAAAATATGAAACGTGTCGAAGTTTTTTTTTCAAGAAGTTCTCATCTATGATAGACTAATACTTAATTTGGAAAAGAAAAAGAGAATTATACAAATTACGATTTCGAATATTTTTTTCATTTTTTAAAATTGAGAATTTATATTATATGGCTAGATTAGGTCCATGTGTCGTGATTTGATTTGGGATTATTTTGAGACAATGCGTGTGACTTTGAGGCATAACATTTTTAAAGCAAGTTTCTATTTATGTCCAACCATACATATTTGTTAACATTAAAGTGTCTAATAGATAATAGTTCTGATTAAAGTGTCTAAGTAAATTACGTGGATAATTTTAAGAAATTATGGATAACTTAAATCAAAAAAAAAAAAGTAGTGTGGGCAATGGGCATGCACTATTCCAATATAGGTGATTCCCCAAGATAATTGAATTTGACATTTGTGGATGAAACTTTTCTCATTACCAAACCTAAATTATAGTTCAAATTGAAAAAAACATTATTTGAAATATCACCACCATTCAAATTTAAAAAGAGGATACTTGATAGTTAAGATTTGTTATAAATCAATTTATCTATTTGAAATATCACCATCTTTCAAATTTAAAGAGAGAATATTTAATAGTTAAAGTGTGTTATAAAAATTTAAAGAGAGACCAATTGATAGTTAAAGTGTGTTATAAATGATAATAGTTCAAATAAGAAAAGAAAAACACAATTTTTCTATTTGAAATAGCACCATTACTCAAATTTAAAAAGAAAATAGTTGATAGTTAATAATCCCTCTATTTCAATTTATGTGATATTTTTGTTTTTCAAGAGTTAAACGGATTAAATTTGAACGGCTATTTACACATGAAATCTTAAATCTTTTTTGAAATGAAATTTATGTATTTATAAAATGTATAATTGATAATTCAAAATATGTAAAAGACGTATGAAAAATTTAGATCAAAGATAGACTTGTTTGAATCTCGAAATCTAAAAAGTGTCACATAAATTGGGACGAAGAAAGTATGTGTTATAAACAATAATACTTCAAATAGAAAAAATCATAAAACAATCTGTTTTCTACTATATGTGTTTGAGTCTACTGAAGAAGTCACTAAAGTATGAAGGGTACAAGAATGATTATGCTCCAACAGTTTTTTGGTGCTGATTTTTTGTGTCGGCAATTATAGCAGAGGTGATTTTACCACTAAATAAAAAATTAAAAATATTTTCGTATGTTTTAATTGGTTCAAATCTATTTTAAAATGAAAACATAGTTTGGTCTTCTCTACATATACAGAGTAATCAATTCAAAAAGATTTTTCAATGAAATTTGTGATTTCATTATCCATATTTTCATTAAAAAAAATTTTTTTACAAAATTCAGGTTTATATTCATCTGATATGCAATTTGCATATCCTCAGTAGAAATCATAGCATTCTTATTATATACAACTTTTTTTACAAAAATAATATACATTCGTAATTGTTATATAAAAATGGGGGCCCCAAATGTTAAGACGGCCCTGAGTAAAAGCATATAAAAAAGATACAAGTGTGTAAATCAAATACTGTACGTAGCAAAAGAAGTCATTTGAAAACAATTAAAAAGTTGACAGTAGGAACGAAAAAATAATACGATAACTAAAGCAAAGAAAACGACAAGTGATAATATAGTAGGAGAGTAATAATAACATACTGAAAAGTCATGTCCTCCGTAAGTTGCATAATCTAGTTCATTATCTGCTTATGATGGATTATGTGATATGAATGAGCTTTCAAATTTTATCTTCTTCTTTGTTTTGGGTTTCTTCAGTTGAGGCATAAGCAGCAGATCAGGTCAGATTATATACTTTGTATATAAAAGAAGCCTATAGAAACCTACCAATTTACATTCAAGAAAATGGTGAGTCCCCGCCAATCGCATCCCTCTCTTTTGATTTATGCACATCCAGTTTCTGACTTTTTACACCTGTGTTTTAGTTCATTTCATATAAAACAAGATGCTTGTTATACAACTAGCTTTTGTTATGGTGTGTTTTTTCTAAATATGATGAAGTTTTTAGTTTCCTCTGAATTTCGAATCTAAGGTGTTAAGGTCCCCTGATATGGATCTAGTTATGGGATGCTACAAGATGAAATCAGTTATCTAGACTAAACGGCTGCTAAAATAAGGACTCTACAAAATGGAACACTATCTACAAATTGAAAAGAAGTTCAATTTTCGAATTTGAGGACAAACTAATTCCTATCTACAAATCTATACTAATTTTCTGTCGTTGGGGTAGTAAAATGGGGTGATGATGGATATTCATCAACCATTGCTAAATGGCAAAGTTAATATGTAATATATGTTAGCAAGATGTGATGCTAGGTAGACAAGAAGGGTGGCGCTTGCCACAGAAAAAAATTTAAGCAGAAAGCAGGTTAGACAGGTGGGTGAATAGTGAATTAGTACAAGCAGTCAAAGTTAAAAAGGGGTCTTGAGCAACCTTTGAGTTCTTCGTGACAACCGCTCATTCGTTGGACTATTCCCGAAGCTGGGCCGGGCTTAGGTATAAGAAGCCCAACCCGAAAAAAGGGTGTAAAGTAGTACTCATGTTAATTTCTAGCAATCTCATATAGTGTCTGGACAATAGAGTCAGGGAACTACCCTGTATACTCATACTATTTTAATGTTTATATCCATATTTACAGGCCATTTTTAGGAATTACTCAAATTCCTCGATTTTCGTGCGTATTATTAGCCTATGGATCATGCAAACCGAAGCACTTAAATTTTTTTTTTCAAAAAATTTTATGTTGATATTCGTAATGAGTTAAGGAAACACCACTTGTATTCACACCATTTTAACGTCTATTTCCGTATTTATAAAAAAGAATTAGGAATTACCTAAATTTCTAGATTTTTCGTGTCTATTAGCATATGGATCTGGCGCCTCGGAGTACAATTTGTTTTTGTCAAAAAAAATTATGGCGGTCTTCATAATGAGTTAGGAACCATCACGTATACTTACACCATCTTCATAACGCCTATTTCCTCATTTACAGACTTTTTTTAGGAATCACCGAATTCTTCATATTTTTGTGTATATTAGTGCATGGATCAAGTGTCTCGGAGCACCCATTTTTTTTTCAAGAAATTTTATGAGGATCTCCGTAATGATTTAGAGAACCACGACATATTTTTCACACCATTTTTCACGCATATATCCACATTTACACGTTCCTCAATTTTCGGGTATTAGCCCCGGAGCACCCAAAAAAAATTTCTCAAAAAAAATTATGAGGACTTTTGTAATGAATTGGAGACCACCTTGTATACTCATACCGTTTGTAACATTTATTTCCGCATTAAAGGCCCTTTTTTTTAGGAATTACTGAATTTTTTAATTTTTCGAGTGTATGCTAATGTAACACCTATTTCCACATTTACATTCCTTTTTTAGGAATTACCCAATTCATCAATAAACATACCAATTTGGCGCCCCATAGCACATAATTTTTTTCCCACAAAGAACTCTATGACGACCTCTGTAATAAGTCGGGGAACCATCAAATATAATCACACCATTTTTAACACATATATCCGCATTTACAGGCTCTTATTAAGAAATTATCCAAATTTATTTCCATAAATAGTCACAACAATATTCTTTTTCTAACACAACATTTTTTATGCCAATTTGTTCAAATAAGCTGAAACAGTTATACCAATGGACAAGCTCAAATCACAAAACATCAACTTCTTCCTTTGCAAAATTAACCAAATTAATTTAGTCAATACTTCAAAATTTTAACATCAAACCAAAATTTTAACAACTTCTTCCTTTGCAAGATTTTGTTGGAGAAATTGTTTCAGGCCAAGGGGGAGATTTGTTGTATTTTATGTGTCCTGATTTCTTACCATAAATAGGTTTTCCTTTTAGGAAAAGGTTTTGGATTGACTAATCCTTTTTCTGGTAGGAAAAGGTTTAGGACTCTATAAATAGAGGCATGTTCCTTCTAACTTAATTAGCATTCACAATGTAGTCTTAAGGGCTTTGAGAGTTTTGGTTAGAGGGAGAATTTGTGGGTCACAAGCTTGATACGTTATCAAATCGGATAAAGGGATTGAGTTTACCACGTAGATCTCCAAAAAATAGGCAACTTTAAAGAAAGAATCGCCTCTAAAATATACTCGAGGAAAAAGTTACTGTCATTTGATGTTTCAACAAATGTAACATTAAAGAGGTAGTTGTAAAATTTTGAACTTCAAACGGACATAAATCGTCACTTCAATATCCGATCGACGCGATTTTTTTATCAAATCTGATTATTTTTTCGATATCCATGCAAAAAATACCACACACACGATTTTATAGTTTTACATTTATCGATTTTTGACCATACATATATATAGGGAAAAATTATAAGGAAAAAATGAAAGTCAAATTGAATAAAGGGATTGAGTTTACCACGTAGATCTCCAAAAATTAAGCAAAAGAATTGCCTCAAGGCTCCACGCCCCAAGGCCCTCCCCCTACCCTCGGTCCTCCAGGCACTGCCCCCTAAGGACCCTCCTTCTCCTACCCTACCCCGGCCCTCCAGGCACCGCCCCCTAAGGACCCACCCTCTCCTACCCCTACACCCGGCCCTCGAGGTTCCGCACCCCGAGGACCG